AGTGGTGGTGCCAAATGTTTCATGAGATGCCTACAGAAATAAGTGAATATGAGAGAGGAACGTTCCTAAGATGCCTTATGTTTGACCATTTATGAGATGTCTTCAGAAAGAAATGAATTGGAGAGAGGAAAGTTCTTCAAATGCCTTATATATTCAGATTCATAAGGTATTTAAATATACACACTGTATGTGTACATGTACGAGAGGAATGTTCCTCAAATGTCTGATGATAACAAATGCATCTGAAGTGTAGGAAGAGGAACGGTCCTCAAATACCTAAAAAAATCTTCAAAAAGCGAACTTGTTGAGACACATAAAAGGGTTTTAAGACCGAAATGACTTCAGATTATAAACCATGGGTGAAAAAAAGGGAAGTTTGATTTTCCCTTTTATTTTTGGATTGTGTTTTCGGCATTTTGTAAATTCTATGGCTCTTATCTTCAGTAGAGTGACCTAGTTAGCAATATGACCCATCGATGGGTCGTATTTTAGCTGACTTGTTAAAATTTTAATTATACATGCATACTGAATTTGATCAATACAGAGGGATCACAGTGGGTGTGTCCAGTCAACAAAGAGTGCTTTTTCTGAAAACCTATTCTAAAGGTATTCATTATTTGCCTTCCATTCCTTGCACATATTGTTGTCCCATAAAATGAATTTTTGAGACTTTTTCGTTGATTTTGGGTAGTTTGCGAATGTAATCGGCATGTAAAAAACTTTCGTGTTTTAAATCCTCTTTCTTGCAGCATGATTGTAACGGATCATTTGGTCGACATTTTTTCGTCTTGTTCATATAATGTACACGTAACGGGTAAAGTAACACTCTATTACACACTATAGCAATTGTGGATTGTCAAAGAAAAATTCTGACCCACTCCCCCGTAATTTCCGAATTTCTGCATCTACCATTGAAAACACAAGTAGACCCGTGATAAGTTATGTACATGTATATGTAAATATGAAAGCATCTTCGGTATTGCATTTGTGTATTCCAGATTCAAGGAAGAGGCCATAATAGGCGATATTAGTATACATGTATAATTAGGAGGCAATGATTAGCCCCTTTTATATAGAAGCGTTGCCATGCATACATGTAGAATTACAACATTTATCAATGCGCGACAATATGCGCAGTGGTGGTAGGTAAACGTTGTCGACAGTGATAACGTGAACAGGCCAAGAAAACAAAATGTACCGTCACAATTATGATGAAGTAAATAGCAGACGAACATCCCAGTGTGATATACACACCTATTTGATTTTATTCCAAAGTACCACAGGAAAAATCGTTACGCAACAATATTTGTGGCGCGACAATTCTTGAAGTGAAGTAAAGAAACATTAATTATGTCGAGAGCGACAATGTGTAAGAGAATAAATTTTCAACCAATATACATATATGCTGACGGAGACAAATGTATTGTGAGAGTAGACACATGTCGTCGTTAGCGACAATATGTACAAAAATACAATTTCTACTGTCACGGGAACTCATATGATAGAGGAAGAAAATAAGCAATTTTCTAGGAAAAGCAAAATTAGCTTACATGTACAGTGTCTAACAAATTGAACAGAATTACCGTTTTGTATCATTATACTTTGTAGATTTCAACATCCTGTCATTTAATATTTTTTTCGTATTACCTTATTTACAGGAAGAGTAAAATAATAATTTATTGTTCAAAAACACAAATAATAACAATGTTCCATTGCACGTTGAAAAGAAACAGGTAATAAGTTTTGCTTTCGTTCGTGTATGTAATAGAGGTAAACTAAGCATTTAAAAGTATGTTCTTTTCATTATAAAAAGCAGTTTTTAACAAATAAAACACTTACATGCAATGTTTACTGCGCAGCATGTTTGTGGAGAGAGAGAGAGAGAGAGAGAGAGAGAGAGAGAGAGAGAGAGAGTCTGATCGAGAGAGGGAGAGAGTCTGTGAGAGAGAGAGAGAGAGAGAGAGAGAGAGAGAGAGAGAGAGAGACTCTGAATGTGCCCATCTTATCAAAACAAACCCTTAAATATATCATAAATAGTGTGTTATTTAATTTTCATTTGTTATACCGGATATATAATAGATATTCCGTTTGAATACTTTTTATATTGTTTGACTAGTTTCCATTTTTTTTATTTTTAATTTTTTCCAGCACCAACGCGACGAAATGATAAAAAGCAAAGTTCAAAAAAGCTGTTTTTAGCATATAGGTCCCAGTCAAGGTAACAAGGTCGTTGTCTTTTGTGTTATTGTAAAGCATTTCATTAGTGGAGTATGCATACCAAATAAGAAGTCTCTATCTCCTATGGATCAAAAGTTAGGGCGAAAGTTCGACAAAATATTTTTAGCATATAGATTACAGTTAAGGTCATAAGGTCATGGATGTCATATGAAAGAGCTTAATTGGTTGAGTATAGGTACTAAATATGAAGTCTCTATTTCCTATGGTTCACAAGCAATGGCAAAGATTGAAAAAGCTATTTTAGCATACAGGTCACAAAATCATCGACCTTACTTACGTAGTGAAGTATGCATATCAAATATGAATTCTCTATCTCTCATGGTTTGAAAGTTATGGCGAAGGTTAAAGTTGACAACAGACAGACAAACAGACAAACAGATAAACAGACAGGCAGCACAAAAACAATATACGTCCCGAATCTATAGATATATAGCATAAAAAACGAATAATAAATACACTTGATCAACATAAGACTAAATCAGTACTTTTGGGACGGACCAAAAATCTTCAAAAAGGACCGAGTTAGATGTCATTTGGTCATTTAGCCTGATGCCAAATTATTTACAATGAAATAGCTGTCGCGAATCTAAGGTGTTGCATTTGAAAATATAAACTTGTTTATATATGGCTCCTTTAAAATTCCGCTTATCTATCTTTATATTGGTATTAAATACTGTTTATAGTGTATGCTTTGTAGAGATGATGACATGTTCATCGAAAATTATATTTGAGAAGTTGTGGTTCCACAATTACCGTGAAAAATAGGTTTCACCTAAAATAGGTTTGTTCAGGACTTTGGTTTAAGATTTATAAGGATTGTATTTCATACGCATGTGCATGTATAATCACACATTTATATTATATTTATTTATTTCAATAAAAAACAAATCTATTTCAATTATATGCTAAATATATTTTACAAACCTCCTATAATTATCAATATTCATTTTCACAAAGTCTAATTAAAAGAAGACATTCACTAAGCATTGATAGACCATGCATTAAGAGAGAACAGGTCATGACATTTAAATTTTACATGCATTTCAATGGTTCCCCATGAAATATGAATTCCATACAAGTTAAGATTTTTGACAATCATTCAATGAATTGACACTTAGCAATACCGGTGTTGTAGAGTAGCATTTCCTCCATAGCCAGCTTTCCCCCGGAAATCGTACTCTACAGTAGGATTTTCCTCCGAGGGAAAATCTCACACCAGAGCCAAATTACCCCCTCTTTCTTTCTAAAGTAGGATCCCCCCCCCCCCTCACTAAAGAGTTAACATATAGACCACAACCGCAATATTTTTTTTGAAAAAAGATAAACGACTGATTTTTAAAAGGTTGTATGTTGTATGTTTTATGTTGTAAAAATTTTCTAAACGTATATTTCAAACATGGAATGTCAACTAAAATAGCTTTCAAACGAAATGTAAATATTCTCAAAATATGATGAAACAAAAAAATGGATGTCTTGATAGGTATATAAATGTGGACCAATTTTGATTGTAAATGATTACAATAATAAACTTTATAAAATATTAAGAAATTGAAAACTAACTGTAATGTTCAAATTTCCATCTTTCTGTAACCATCCTTATTAATCTACCAAACATTAGATAAATATTTCCAGTCATTTAGAAAAAACATTGCGGAAAACTATCAAAAAGATGAAAAGGTTGTAATTGCTTAAATTGAAATTTAAGCGAAACGAAATGCAAACTTGATTTTCACTCATCAAGATATACTCCTATGCAAAAAATCAGTTCAATATCTCAAGCATTTAGAAAAAAAGTGCGGAAAAAAATTTGGGACACACAGACAGACAGAAGGACAGCTAGACAGACGGACAGACGCACAGGCAACTTAAAGACTTCTCCAGTTTCATCATTTTATTTGATTTTTAAAACATTTGGACTGTAGCCAAAATGTTCATGTTCATTTTTCGTTTACGTATGTTTAATACATCTGCTACGGAGAGGGTATTTATAGGCTTAAGCCTGTTGCTCAATCTATTCAGTTTACTGAATAAATATTGTTTAAATCAATACATCTGCTCACCAATTTAAAGAAGGGACACTTGTAGCAATGTGCCAACCTTTCCTCCTCAAAAATAAGTACAGCAATTATATTTCACCTGGGGGATAATTGGCTCTGGGGGAAATCACACCTCTTAACTACTACACAGAATAGGATTACCCCCCCCCCCCCCCAGAAAATTGACTCGGGTGTGGGATTTCCGTAGGAGAAATCCTACTCTATAGTCAGTTTTCCTGGGGGGAAATCCTACTAGAGTCAGGTTTCCAGGGGAAAAGATTTTAGGAGGGAATGCCTACTCTACAAGACCGGTTTTAGAAATTCAGAGACATTTCCCAACGTTAGATATCAATTCTGCTTATAGAAACATTGATCTTGTTAAAACATCGATCAATGCGGACAAAAGACTAAATTTTCCCGAAAATCATTTGATGGAATGTCTCTTTTGACCCTAGAAGGGGTGTTTTATTTAAAATAAAGGGACTCAAAAAACCTTTTGTTTTCTGAAAAGAAGAAAAAAAACACAGATTTTAGGATGATTTTCATTTCAAGTTGTCGTTTAAAGATGAAATCATTTTGAAGAAATTGTTTATTTGTGCAGTCTTTTGAAGCGATATTTTTACTGATACATATTCCTAGAAGTTTATTTCTGTTTTGAAATATTTCATGATTATCTAATCATATATACAAATATTATTTGTACTAAGTTATCAATTTACACTTTACCTTTATCACAAAATGCCCCGGAAAATCCTGGACTACAACCATTTTCACAACTTCCGTTAAATCGATTGCATGTCTTATTATGAAGGCAATTCCCTCTACAGAATAATTCACAATTCTTTCTATATTTTCCACTTTCACATGCTGCAAAATAGATAAAATCAATGAGGCCGACTTACATGTACATGTACCTGTGTATTGTCAACGGTAAAATAATGTAAACGGTTGATAAGGAACACATTTCCAAAACAAGTTTTGTGTAAAATACAACCGGGTCTTCATTTTTTGTGTCTGCTGTTCTAATTCTCAAATTTAACTTTCCTTACATTCTTCTAGTTCATTTCAATTTTAACATTTAACAATTAAACTTTTATTAACAATGTACTAGTTCACTCCTTTTTGAATTTTAAGCAATTGATATTTTTCATATCATGCTCTGAATGACACATAGGGAGATTTCTTGTACAGAATATATATATATATATATATATATATATATATATATATATATATATATATATATATATATATATATATATATATATATATATATATATATATATATACGAGGGTTTATCCAAAAGTAATGTCACTGTGTCAATATCTGTAATATTTGGCGTCATATTATCAAATATAATATACCAAAAGATGCATAAAAATAAATCTAATCAAAATTGAAAATTTTGTTTAGTAATGATTCCTTGAATTAATTTTATAGCCCTTTAAAATATGAAACATGAGGAGTGTCTCTGCGTCACAACAATAAACGTCACGTTTTTAATTGTAAATTGTTAGAATGAAAAAGGACAAACACATTAAAAAGCATAAAAAAAATCATCTAATCTTCCAATATTTTAGAAGACAAAATTTTACGACATTTTCTAGTCTTAGGTTGAAAATAAAAAGATTTCATTGCTTTTTGATCATAAACATAGTTGTTTTAATCTGCTGGATTGAACAAAAGAAATGTCGAAATGGAGAAAAACCGCTGAAAACGATCTGTAATTCTTTTTTGCTTCAAAATGGGGAAATCGCCCGAAGAAATAGTTACGAGGATAATCAGACACACAGAGGATAGAATTTAAATAAGAGACTTGTTTATAGATGGTTTCAGCGATTTTTAGCGGTCATGGTCACTGAAAGATCAGCAGAGGACAAGAAGACCGAAAGCGGGGGGGTCGGGTGGAAACGTTCTTGAAATGGTGTCTGACGTTGTCCAAAAGAGAGACGATTAGACGGTTAGAGCGATATGAGAAACTTGAAGTCTTTCTTATGGTACTGTTCAAAGAATTTTGACAGATAACTAAATTATGTATAGACTGAGTTTACAATGAGTGCCAATAATTCTTTTAAAAATAGAAATATATGTGAATGTGTTCGTGAATCTTAAATATTTTTATTGAAACGAAGGGGAAGCGTTTAAGTGTATGACGCCGCGTATCCATCATAATTATGACGTTATTTAGGTGCGGCGACTACCATAATTGCGCTTTGTATATAATTTGATATTTTGAAAAGTATACATCATTTGAATTTGAATTTTTCAGGACTGATTTGTAATATGTATAGCTTTGATCAAGTGTAACGTTAATTTACGTCGACTAGTAGCATTTTTATCGAAGTTGTGACATTACTTTTGGATCAACCCTCGTATATATATATATATATATATATATATATATATATATATATATATATATATATATATATATATATATATATATATATATATATAAAAATATCTTTAAAGAATAAAAAGAAAATACCTTGAGAGCAATTTAATTTTTTCCATCCTGGATTACATCCATGTTTACACGTGCCATCTTCACTGTTACAAGACTGGTTTGCACAATTTTGACTGCATTGTTTGGAACAGTTGTACCGGAATAGTCCGTCGTCACAAACTTTATATGGGAAGACGAAGACATGTTAAACAAAGTAATAGAAATCAGACTGAAATGTTTTTTCTGATTAATTATGTTTACCTTTATCACATTGTTCTCTTTCATAACCAGCTTTACATCCGCCTATGCAGATTCCTGTCTCGTTATTGCATCCATTTAGGCAATGACGACTACAATGGTCTGTACAGTTTGTATCATTTAATCCCATGGAACATTCTGATTGAAAAAAAGAATAAAAAGGCCTTAAATTTTAATGGTACTAACGTTGTTCGTTACACAATATATCATAAATTTTGTGAATAGATAGATGTTAGTTGAACTCTCACTTCATTTTATTATGTTACAATGCTTAATTTGGACGTCTATAATTTTTCAGTTTCTTCAGTACGTTTACAGAGGATGCAACTACAAATAATATATAGGGTTTTCATTGCAAAAAACTAAATTTTAATACGCTTGAAATAAATCTTGATATCTTTATAAATCTAATGCATTCATTTCAATTTTATTGTTGAAACATTGCTTCCAAATTTGAATCCCACATGACGTTTAGTAAAACATTATGACAGTAGTCCACCAACTTTATGAACAAACCTCGAAATTATGCTTCGACATAGAATTATAGAAATGATAGAATGATTTTTAAGAGTATTATCGCATTTTAAATACAGACTTGGACTAGTAAAAATAGACAATATGTGCAGGACAGAAAAAATGTGAACATGCAAGGAATGGCACGAATTTTGAACAGCTTCTAATATTTTTTTATAGTATTTCTCACTTATTTAACTCATAAATTATTTAAAATCTTGCACAGTCGGTGGATGAGATATCAAAGACATGCATATGTTGTTAAACAGGCATTATACTCAAGCCTCCAGAGTTTCTTCAAGTTGGTGAGTCACATCTTATCAAGTGAACTCGACTTCGCAATGTAAACAAGATGGTGCCAAACAAAATATCTTTTGGTTTGACTTCATGTTTGTATTATCAATCTATTAATAAACATCTCCAACAACAGAACAGCAACAATAGAATCTGAGCATTGAAAAAAACAGCCATGACTTTCCAGATGATTTTGATATTGTCATCATGTTGTTGACCAAAGGCAGGGCTTGGGGGGGGGAGGGGGGGCAAGCTCGAGGATCCTCAGCATACCTGGCAATGATTCTTATTACATTCTTAAATGATGTGAACTTGAACCCAGGACCGACAACATCAGATACACTGTATTTATGTGGGACATGTGATCAACCAGTGACTTGATAGTATCTAGCACCTCAAACAATTACCGTTTCAACCAATACCATGCAGAAACCTATCACAAAAACCTCATATTTCCAAGATTTGTACATTCAAAACAAAAGAAATGTAATCAGCAACCACTTAGGATTCGAAGTGTAAATTTCTAGTTAAGAAGAATTAAGCAACATCTATTTCAAAAAAATGACAAGTAGCACATATCTAGGCTTCATCTTTGGCACAGACACCTGGATAGACAACACTATAAAGGGTTCACAGATTTCCCAAAAAGGGTATACTACATTAAGAAAGGATTTGAACATAGATGGAAGAGGTGTACTTATTGCAACTTTATTGCTACAGCCATCCCAGAACTCCAAACAGATTACGAAATTGTCTCGTGTAAACTAGTATCAATTGGCCACAAATCCATCTATCTATGCTCGTATTACCAAAAATTGACGAATGAAGAAAGCATCCACCAACTTAGTAAAAGCCTCGAGAGGGCATCGAGCAAAAGGAATTCATTTTAGTAATAGCAGGAGATTTCAACCTTAAACTGCCTGGATGGGACTAGAAAGTAAACGGGCTAAAACCCAAACCTCAATACCCATCAATCCATCACAAATTCACAGATATACTAGACGACAATGGTCTCACTCAAATAGTTGAAGAGATAACGAGGGCTAGTAAAATTTTAGACGTTATTGCAACAAACCATCCATGCTTCTCTCGAGAAATATTGTACCGTAAAGGCAACAGCAAAAGCACACCAGATTCCTCTGTACAGCAAAGCAAAATGGAAAATGTGACAAGTGATAAAAATTCCATCCACACTGGAATTTTCAATACGAAGGGACGTAAGACATCAGTTAACGACCTACTACTTCTATTTCTAAACCAACCTTGAAAAAGTGTAAAAGTATAGCCCAATATGTAAATGCAAAGAACAATTATGGGTATCAATGGATAAATAGAAACCTAAAAGATTTATCAAAAAGAAATCGGAGTTATTAAAGTAAGCAAAAAAAGGAAACAAATTAAACACAGAAAAATATCTAATATTAAAGCAAGAAACACTAAGGCATCTCAGAAAGGCATATTAGCAATATGTTAAGGGTATTGTAAATCCTCAGGCGGACAGTAAATCAGAGCAGGGCAACTACATGAAATGAATTTAAACCTGCATCAAACACAAATATCAGACAGCAACACCATTCCACCACTCAAATCAGATGGTGTATTACATCGAGATGCAATGGACAAGCAGATATTCTCAACAAACAATTTCAGAAGGCATTTTCATTTTAGTCAGAAATAATCAGAGAGGTCTTTAAGACTACTTGTACTATGAAAGGAAATTTTGAAACAATTAAGATCAGGTAGTAGGGCATCGCAATATTATTAGAGAATTTAAATCTTTATAAGGCACCCAGACAAGATAAGATTACTTCAAAAATTCTAAAAGAAATGGCAGGAGATATATCACCAATCCATACAGTTATATTCAGAGAAATCATATGATACCGGAGAAGTACCAAACATATGGAAAAATGCATTAGTTTGTCAAATCTACAAGAAAGGAAAGAAATTTGATATGGCTAGTAAAATTTGCATAGCGTTACCGCATATCTTTGACTACGCACTGCTAACGTATGTGGTGATTTTTTTTCTAACTTGATAATACACATTTCATTAAGTACGGTAAATCTGGAAATTTTACGTCAATTTTATTATGCGAATTTGGGTCAAAATGCTGTTGATTAATTTCTAAGTTTCAAAATTTTGCGAATGACTACTGCGTTGTTTACATTTCCTTACTGTTGATTTATATTTTAGAAAAATATTTTTGCGAATGCAATGAACTCTCAAATTTGCTAAAATTTATCTACAGCAAAAATTTCCAGATTTACGGTAGTACAAAGAATTTGAGTGAATGAAAATTAAATAGTTTGAGATATCCCTCATTAATGCATTGCGATGTTAATAAAAATTCAATATCCTGTAACATTTGATGTTGTATGTACAAAATCCCTGTTGAAATCAGTTTCAAAAGTATGTAATTTACCTTATTTCCATAGTGGTTGCAGCATTTATTTGGATAGTAAATGCCCTATAGGTTATATCAATAACAGTTACAACGGATGTTTTGTTTTGAAATGCACTCTCAACCACTAATTTATTTATTTCAATAGTGGTCGTTATTTCAAAAGTTGTTTCAACAATTATCCCATGCATTTTTCACTTAAGTTTTATTAAGGAATCTATTGAAACCCAAAAGAGTCCATTAAATAGTCAAGAGATTTTAAAGATAAAGAACTATGTTTATTTCTAAAGATTAGGAAAAAACAAAGAACAAAATAATAAAAAAAAAATTGAAAAAAAAGCAGAAAAGACAACAAAGCTAAACTTATATTACCATATCCTGACGATAATTTTAGTCCAATTGAAAGTAAAAGAATTGTCCAATACATATTCCTTGAATATTTTTTTCTAAATGTATTAATATAAGTATTGCGCAGCGTACATACACATGCGGAAGACCATGCATATGATATGTATAGAGGATAGGTTTTTAACTGGAAATTATCCATATATTTTTCTATTCATCCCAATAACGTAAGTCCATTTTTAGGGCAAAATGTCAACATTCCTGTCGTTTGTGCTTCCTGGAAATATTAAATTTAGGCTTCAAAGAAAAAAGAACATAACAGACGAATCGCTTTTCGAAGAAATTAATTAGGAAGTCATCTTGATCGCGATGCGTTGTTTAATATAAGTACATGAAGTAGTGACATATCAATAATATAAAGAATTTATTACATATTTATAATGAATAACTGTTTGTTTATTACTTTGTTGCTTAACGTTCCTCTTGATAATATTTTACTCAGATGAACACGCAACCACTAACCGGGGAAAGTCTGCAAATTTATAGATATATTCTGGGGCATTGGGCAGTGGTGGGTCTTTTATGTGCCAGCACCTGATGCGACACTGTACCTCGGTTTATACAGTTCTCATCCTAAAGACATATCTCCCAACTCAATACCTTGAGAAAATGAACAGTTTAAAAATAAATAAGAAAAATTTGGACTTTTCACCACAAGAAATTAAAATCTCGATTTTTTTCATTTTGACAGCATATTGGCAGTTGATTTTAAACAATGGTCATTCACAACATTTTGTTTTTACTCAAAAACAATCTGACTGTACCCTTGCTGGATTCCTGAAGCTGATATAATTAAAAGATGCTTAAATTTCTTTCTGAGAAAAGCGATTGGATGTTTGAAGATCACGTCTTTTTAAACCTCGTTGAAATCCCTGAGGTTTAAATTGCAAATCAAATAGAATTTAAGGAAAAGGGTCTCTACATGTGAATAAGAAAAGCATTTATTTAGTTTTCATCTCAACATTTGGATAGATTGAAGACGTACAATCAATATTTACTTTCAACAATATTTGTAAGGGTTATGGTAAGGTCGAATCTACCTAAAGACACACACATTAATTTAACGTTTGAATATTTTACTTAATATAGTAACATAGCCAATTAAAAAAAACGTTTTTGATGAATTTACTTCAACTTTTTTCATTGCTATATACCCTTATCTATGTAGTATTATAGCCAGCTGAACTGCATGTGAAATGCATGTCCTCAAGTTATTTTCATTCACAAGATCATGCTTTCCACTGAATGCACGAAAACAATTGTGAGGACAACTATTGAAAAAAAAAGATAATGAAACAAAGATATCTACAGTCTCGTTGAACGACATTATTTTTAAAGTTGTGCTACTTAAAGAGGGGCTTTGTCAATAAATTTAATTCATAATTATAATGAGTTCCGATTTTCATGCTATTTGTGAGGCTATTGACTGAGCACAAGGCTGGTTGACCGATCGGCTTGGGATGCATTCTCCTTTATGGCACCTGATCTAACCTTGAAGTTGTAAGAGGTACTTA